AAATGTGCAAATTTCCAATTTGCACGCTTCAATTATGAGGAAGCAAGGTGCAAATTTCTAATTTGCACACTTTTTTAAATTCGGCTGGGGCCTCGCAAAATCCGAAAGGAAGGCGCAAGTATTCGTACTGCCCGTCTGGAGTGGCAAACGAAAAAAATTTAGCGTAATCTGGATGGACCTTGAGCTGATAAAATCCGTCTTTCAGATCTAATAATGAAAAAACAGATTTATCGCCCAATCTAGACAGACAATCCTCGATGAGAGGAAAAGGAAATTTTCTTTTAACGACCCTTTCGTTGAGAGGTCGCAGGTCCACGCAGAGATGTAGGCTACCATTTTTCTTCCTTACACGCTGGGCTTCCTGTATCGAGGAGAGCCTTAAGGTCGCAAGAGTAATTGTTTAAGTCTTTTACCTTTACGACGGCAGTATCAGTGATCAGTTGGTTTCGCGGGGCTTCCACGAAAGCGATGGTGTTGGAACCTTGTGGGGTGACTGCTTCCTGGGTTGGAGTCTCGATGACTGCGGCGATTAGCGGTGGCGGCTTCGACGCGGCAGGTTTGGGGGAAGCATCCTTCTTCTTCAGTTTATAGCAGGAATCTCTTGTGTGGCCCTTACTGCGGCAATACACACAGAAGAGCTCACTGGAAGCTTTTTCTTGTTGATCAGGCTTAGCTGCAGCTTCATCCTTGGATCTGTGTTTGTCGTATTTACGGCTGAACACTGGAGATTTTCTCGACGTTGAAGTACTCGTTGTTATGTGATTGTTATGTGATGCATTTGTTGCAGGAAGTCGTCAATCGAATCTGCTCTGATTGACGCGGCACAAGTTTTGATGGCTAGGCTGCTAATACCATCTATGAGGCAGTGGATGACCTTTTCATCGTCCAGCTTGAGACATTGCAAAATGGCTATTTTATCCATTGCATAGTCCTGGAATGACTCTTTCGAGAAGAGCCATCTTCGTTCATCCGCTCTTCTTGTAACAGCGGTATATAAGATTCGTCTCTTGAAGCGACGAATTATTGCTGACTTGAAGTCGGACCACGACTCATTGATTGAGCCTGTGGTTAAATCGAACCATCTGCGGGCTGCTTTCGTGAGTTTGAGCGAAGCAGCTGACAGCATCGCCCCAGAGGGAAGACCGTGTATAAGTGCGATCTTCTCGATCTTCTCGATCCAGAGTTCTACGTCTTCATCTTCCGTCCCACCAAATTGTGGAATTTGAGAGACCAAAAACCTTGAGGCGTTCATGGATGCCATTGAAGGGTTCTCCGTTGATTGCGGGGTTTGAAGACTGGTGCTAGCTGGAAGGGGATTAGACCCGTCAGCATTTTGGACAAGCGAAGAGATTGGTTGACTGACAGGACTTTGGTTTTCCGTAGAATTCCTGTTGACGGCTGCCATGATTTTATTTAACATTTCTTGCTGGATTGCACGAGTCTGTTGAAGTCTCAACATCTCTTGAGCCATGAGTTGGCGAAGTTGTGTAAAAGCGGCATCAGGTGCTGATCCTTGAGGTTGCCTATTGCCTGGTTGAATGAATGAAGCTACGCCGCTGTCCCTATAGATCTGGGACGCGGAATAACCTAGAGAAGACGATGTCTCTCTCTGTGTGTTATCACCGGCAAAATCGAGAAGAGGTCCATTCTTCTCTAAGTGCGAGATCTGCGCGATGCACTCGTCGCGCGACTCTGGAGGATCCAGTCCGAAATTCTGGATCTCTTGCTGTAACTCCTCAAGAGACATGGCGTCGTACCTGTGACGCAATTCGATGTTCATCTTGGTGCGCTCTGTCATAGGAAGAACGCGCGAGAAGTTCGGGGTATGCTCGAGTGGCATTTCCGGCAAATGTATGTTTTGTGAGGAAAGCGGTGCAATGCGTACTAGATATGCGCGACACACCCGCACACGAATGTTGAAAGAACGGTGCGATGCGCACCGAATCTGCGCGACACGCACGAACACGAGTGCTGAAGAGAATGGCGCGATGCGCACTGAATATGCGCGACACGCACACACACGAATGTCAAAAGAACGGCGCGATGCGCACTGAATCTGCGCGATACGCACGTACACAAGTGTCGTAGAGAATGGCGCGATGCGCACTGGATATGCGCGACACGAACACACACGAACGTTAGAAAAACGGCGTGATGCGCACTGAATCTGCGCGAGACGTACGAACACGAATGTCGTATAGAATGGCGCGATGCGCACTGGATATGCGCGACACGCACACACACGAATGTCCCGTCGTGTAGAAGACGGCGCGATGCACACTGGCTATGTGCTACACGCTCGTACACGAACGTTAACGGAACGGCGTGATGCGCACTGAATCTGCGCGACACGCTCGAATACGAGTGTCGAAGAGAAGGGCGTGATGCGCACTGGATATGCGCGCCACGCACACACACGAATGTCGAAAAGAACGGCGCGATGCGCACTGAATCTGCGCGACACGCACGTACTCGAATGTTCCGTCGTGTAGAAGACGGCGCGATGCACACTGGATATGCGCGACACGCTCGCACACGACGAAGCAGGCAGGGAGCCCCGATGCGGATGTCCACTTCAAAAACTCTTGAATTATGGGCTGTCGATGAGCGGCTGCTAACATGCCCTGTGCACGTGTCTGCGTGCACAAGATGGCTGGCCGTTCCCGGCACAAGCACGTGTTACCCGGCACTTAACGCGTAGCCTTAACTAAGGCGTAGAACCTCTCGCGTGTCGATGCGAGATTAATCGCGACACCAGGGGGCGTAGATTTTACAATAGAATTATTATTAAAATTTGGTATTTCCTTTGTATTACGGGTATCTTGAAATTGCAAATATTTCTTTGTTTTGGACTTTTTCTCAGATAAATATTCCATAAACTCTGTTATATACTCCTGATCGTCATTTTCATAATTACTGTTATTTATTTGTCTCATATACATAGCAACCGAAATTAATTTTAAATTGTACATAAATTGCAGCGGATCAGGTATGACGTTTTTTCTTCTTATTTGAGAAAAAAGGTTCTCTACGCAGTCTTGCGTAAATCGAGAGGTAAGAATAAATTGGAAATTCCTTTCTTTAATTAGATACTCTGTTAAGTTAATCACAGATGTAGTGATAATAATTATACCTCTTTGTACAGGCTTAAAGCTATTTTTACCTATTTCTAATTGAGTAAAAATATCAATAACTTCATATAAAAAATTAATGTTTGTATTATACACGTCGTTATCTTTTGTACCAAGTGCTAATTGACAACTTCATGACGTCATAAGTGAGAACCATTTACGTAAAATCTTTACGAACCACGCAGTAGTGAGATATTCCTGTTTATTGTGAAAATCCGCTAACAATTCTAATGAACTGCTCACGTCATTTGCAAAAACATGTGTGGCTTTGTTAACTCTCATCTTATTAAAATTGTTGTTACAATCAATATCACTTATTTTTAATTTCGGCGTTAATAATATCTCAGATTCGACTTGCGTATTTATCAATTCTTTAAAATGTCTTAATTCTATCTTATGTGAAGGTAAATCGTACTTTAATACTAAATTGTCAGGAATTGTAATTACATGGTTGTTAATTAGCGCCTGCTTCAAGTTTTTGAAAATATGTGGTGAATCTGCAATTATGTATAAATGTCGATTAGGATCAAAAGGATGTATAATACTATTAGTTATTTTACTAAATCTTCCAGTGCTTATCCCAAGTAACTTCCATAATCCAGTATTATTACCAGGACCCATATCAGATGTGATAAAATTAACGTGGAAACCGATGTCTTCTACTTTATGGATTATCTGGAAAATTATAGTTTTTAGAGTTTTACTATTAAAGCTGTTTCCTGTAAAGTGGTATCCCACTACATGTTTCCACCTGCTGGCTATACCAACTAGCATGAAAACTAAGGCATGCGTTGCATTACCCTCTTCATCAGGAAATGTTATTCCGCCGATACGCGATCCCGTTGAAGAGTCGTAACATCTTTTTGGCGTGATAGACATTTCGTCGAATATTACCCACATTCCAAATCAATTTCTTTTTTAAAATAAGGCTTTTTATGTTGTAAAAATTCTAACATCGGATCTGAAATACCAGGTTTAAATTTAAAAAATTCTAATCTTCGTGTCAATGTTCGTATATTTGGAAGGGGTATTCCATGGTGTATAAGTTCTTTGTATCCGTTAGTTCCACAGACTAATCTTAATTGCAAAGCTCGTTTAATTGTCTCATTTGACCATTTCTTTACGCTTTGACTTTTTGTTAATAGAGATGTAATTTGATCTTCAGTAAAAATCGAACTTAAAGCCTTTTTGTATTTATCATTATGATCCTTTTCCTTCATCTTTTGTATTCTATTTCTTAAAACTAAATTTTGTTTTCGGAGTTTCAACAAAGCAGCATCTTTTTTTGCCATAATCTCTTCTAATCTTCCTCGTCGATATTTCTTTTCTTTATTAGTTTCATCGACAGATGCGGCTGATGGACTAGGCTGCGAAATATCTTGCACAGATGAAACAGTTGCGGCTGATGTACTAGGCTGCGAAATATCTTGCACAGATGAAACATTTGCAGCTGATGGACTAGGCTGCGCAATATCTTGCACAGA